ATTTAATATTCAGCTTTACCAATTACAGTTTATTTTCTGTGTCTTTGTCTATACTGGAAAAGTTTGGCAACGGAAGTATTGTTGACATTCAAAAGTCCCCTAAGTTGAAAACCAATCAGACCTGTTTTTCTGCCTCCTTTTGTGGACATTTTATGGCCACATTGTTAGCAGCTCTGCTGAGGGAAAAAGCAAAACAATGTAGGTAAGCATCCCACAGTGCCTAGAGTGTCACCTTCAGTCACTAAGAACTTTGGGACTGCACAACAAAGGGATGGAAAGCTTGAAAAAGGACCATCTGTTTTAGGGAGGGAAAGCGACAAGTGGAAGTTTTTTGTTGCCAAAACTGGGCATTTGTTTCGACTTCTGTCGTATCACAGTGTGTACACTGTCCTGGTTTTGTCACCAAAAATGATTTTTTTAACGAGAAAACTTGCAGGTATAGACAATCCATGTATACATTGTTGTTTTTGATGTCTTTCAAGTGGTGGCTTACTTGCTACTATATGCTGCAATGTTGAAGATCTATAACAGCTTCTGTGTGGAACTTACTTCCCCCTTTTATAGTTTGTAATTTCGAGGATAGAAAATGACAGTTGATAGATTTCTCAGATAGGTCCAGTTAATTCTCTATTCAGTCATCAGTCTGTTGCAAGTAGCCATTGGGCCCTACCTGCTTTCAAGTGAAATGGGTCTGGGTAGTTTAGTTGCTATTTCTAGCTCTGGGGCTTTAGAATGTGCTCCTGTCTGACATCCTTCTTTGAGATGTGGAACACTGCTATCCAGCCACCCTAAATGCATTTACATATGCTCCCCCTGCATTTACTCACTTTATACCTTGATCTGGCAGAAAAGCAAGAAACCCAGGCATAGCAGAGGAATTGCTGAGCCACGGTCAATTGAGGCCTTGTCTTGATGGATAGTTAGGCCTAGTCTACACTATGTTCTGCCCCCCCCCACTGATCTAAGTTATGCAAATTGAGCTCTGCAAATACTGTAGCTGAAGACCATGTACTTACCACAGTGTTTTTTTTCCATGTGGTAAGATTGGCAGGGGCTGCTTCTCCAACTACTCTGCTTGTCCTGTTGGAGTACCAGAGTCAATGGGAGAGCACTCAAAGATTGATTTATTGCATCTAAGCAGACGTGATCAATCGACCGCCGGTGGGTTAATCCACGTTGTAGTTCAGACAAACCCTAAGTGGTAGTAGGGTCTGCATGTCGAGTTAGCGTGCAGTCTGTTATTGTGCTGTAGGTTTGTACACAGACTGCTGCGTATGAACACTCAGCGTAGGCAAACCATTACTGTTAAAGTGTTTGAGTCACAGCTCTTTGAAAATAACAAGTCCTGACACCTTCTCCCCTCATTGGAGCTCACCCTTTCATGTTTGTCTGTGGTTCATCAGGGCTTGGCTTCTCTGCTATGCTGCTGTAGCACTGCAGTGAAGATGATACCTATGCCCACAGGAGAGCTACTCCTCCCTGAGAGGCGGAAGATATGTTGACAGGAGAAATATTCGTGTAGACCCCTGTTGACATTAGCACTGTCTACATGAGGAGTTTGGATGTGGTTTTTCCTTTACCCCCCTGAGCGACATGGTTATATAGACATAAATTCGTAGTGTAGACTAGGGCTAAGTGTTTCTGACAGGGCAGTCTCTTCTGCACATCCTCGTCCTCTGTTGTTCAGCCCCCTGCAGGGAACAGAATCCTGCTCTTTTAAATAGGGCCTTGTTTTCATGCAATGTGCTCAAAGTTCTGTAGTCACCAGTCTTGCTTACCCCATCCTCTGGAGCTTTTGTGGAAAGACCATTGTTCCCTGAGGGTGGGGCAGTAGTGGGGAGTCTAAGTCAACAGCCCCAGGCTACAGTCTTGATGGCTTTCAGTGTATCAAATGACTTTCCCAGGCAGGGCAGATGCCTGGAATGCAGCAAAGTAGGCTGCCCCTGGACAGGTCTGAATTAATGCAGCTACAGTGCCAGTATATCAACACAGGTACAAAACAGACTTCACAATTGGATGCTGTCATATCCACTTTGTCACAGTGAGCTCATTCCTCCTTGAAAGTTACATTGCCTATGGAAGCTTCCTAGGCAGGGCAGTATTTCTGGAAGGCTATGTGTCTGCGTATATAACATAAAAGTGAGACCAATGAGAAAAATAAGTATAAATAAGACGAGGGATGTTACATTTTGATTAATCAACTAATTGAGTAGTTGATGGAGTTTCCATCAACTACTCAATTAGTTGATAAGGGGGACACTATCCCCCTGTGTATCTCCCTTTGAAATGCACAGGAGCTGCCACTGGCTCTTGTATGTTTCAAAGGGAGAGGGGCAGCGGGAACCTGCCAGAGGGGACTGAAGCAGTCCCTGCTGGCATGGGTTTCCCCTCTGTGCCTTATAAGGGAGAGGAGCTGCAGTCAGACCAGCACAAGTGGGACTATTTCAATCCCTGTTCACACTGTTTCCCACTGTGCCTCTGCCTCCCCTATACCCCGTGAAGACGGTGCTGGGAGGAACTGGCTTTCAAGCCAGCTCCCCTCAGCACTGGCTCATGCTCCTCCCCTAACTGCCTCTCTCTGATAGAGCAGCAGTGGGGGGAGAGTGACTAGTTGAGAGTTCCTACTCAACTACCCTATAAGTATTTGCTTATCAGGTATTCGACTAGTTGCTTACATCCCTAAATAAGACTAATAGTTTTTGCTGAGAAGTGGTCAGAGTAGTGTCAGATGGAAGTTCTGGTTTGAAGGTGCCAATAGGAAAATTACAGATGCATGATTTGGAGTCAGTCACACTAGATTCTTGATCCTACAGATGGATGTGACATTTGAGTTGAAGAGAAACTGGAGACAATGAAGTTTTGGGTTTGATACTTAGCAGTTCAAAGTGCATCAATATTGATTATGCAGAATTGAATATATGGCTAAAACAAGCAATGACGCAAGAATTAGAAGTTTCCTTCATAGGAATTACACAAGAAGTTAAATTCTAAAGGAAGATGAGATAGGGTATGTCTACACTAGCCCCCTAGTTCGAACTAATTCCTTGCAAGAGGAATAACAGGTAGTTCGAATTAGGGGCTTTAATTCAAACTACCAGCTCCCTGCCGCGTGTAGCCATGGGCAGTTAGTCCGGACTAGGCTACACGCGGCAGGGAGCTGGTAGTTTGAATTAAAGCCCCTAATTCGAACTACCTGTTATTCCTCCTGCAAGGAATTAGTTCGAACTAGGGGGCTAGTGTAGACATTAGATATTTATATGGATCAAGGATTGAATCCCACTGGATCATCATAGTAATGATGACAAGGGGCACAACTGGGTCTGTGCCACATACTATACCAAGGATTTTGAAACTCTGGATCATGGTTTTTAAGGGCTTACTGCAGCTCCCATTGGCTGGAAATGGTGATCCATGGCCAACAGGAGTTGCAATTGCCCATACCTGCGGAAGCACAGATAAAGTGTCTCATGGCCAGGAAGCAGCTTGTCCTTAGATGCCACGAACCAGAGTTTGAAGTCCCCTGTACTGTACCATTTATTGTGGCAAAGGATTTAGTCTTACTTTTGGTGATGACTGAAATCCTGACCCTACAAAAGCCAGTGGCAAAACCATCATTCACTTCCATAGGGCCAGGATTTCATTTAATATGTGTAATATCTGATTTGTAATTTAACTAAATTAACAAATTGGTGAAGAGACTGAATTTGGGAGAACACTAGGAAGCATGGTGTTGTTTTAATTGTTCAGCTAAGCTGTGAGCAACCCTGGGCTTCTCTTTTGTCGCTGGGGCGAGGCCGGGAGGACAGGAGCACAAGGGCTTCAGTGTTCATGTACTGAACACACAAGCCTGTAGCTTATTGTGGCGATTGTGTAAATGTTTCCCTCATTATCTCTTCTTCAAACTGTTAAAGATAACTGTCTTTGTTTGTTCCATTGTCTGATAAGACAAGACAAGAGCAAGTGTCATCTTTTGGATCAGTCAAGTATATTTGCACAGCAGTAAAACAAGCACTGAAAGTGTGACTTTTCAGATAAATGCCTGTCTGTATCATGATTGGGTCACATTCATAAGGCTTTTTGAGCTGCTCTTGAAGGAGGTGATCAACTGATTTCCCTTCAAAGTTTTGAATTCATCTCTTGTCCCCTGAGACAGAGACGGAAATGTTCTTTCTTTTCTCTTGTTCATAGGAGAAGCTACTTTTAGGCAGTAGTATGTGTCAGATTTCAGCAGAACTTACACGTTTTGAACTCCTCTGTTGTGACAGCTATAGGTTTGTCAAGGAGGTTTTTGGTATGATTTCTCTCTTTTACATCTATTTCATTGTTGTAGTTTTCACTGACATTTAGCTCCCATAAATAAAACAGTTGGTTTATAGTTAACTGTGTTTCATGTAAGTTGGGGGTGGGGGAGCATTCAAGGCTAAATTATATCCAGCACCACCAAAACTTCAGAGTTATCCCAGAAGTACTTTAGGTCCCTCTGGAAAGACTCTTCCTCTCATTCGGTGCTCATTCCCCACAGATTCACTCTTTAATCTCCCACGCGCTGGGATTCCATTCCATCCAGACCTTGCAGCTTGCTCCTCCGATCTTCCTCACATAGAGGCTGGCAGATTTGCTAAGTCATGATGCCTGAACCCTGATGGTTGACCACTCCACTGCCCTGTTTGGGTGTGCCACACTATTATTTTCTTTACATCACTGATTAGTGTTGCTATCACACTAATCTTAGATTAAATTATAGGGAATTAGCTTGACATATTGTGTATAAAATCTACAAGCAGCACCTTCGAGACTAACAAAAATGTATATAATATGAGCTTTTGTGGGCAAAACCCACTTCAGATGAGCTGGAAGCTTGACTGGAAATAAGAGGAATTCAGAATTAGACAAAAGGAATTGGAAAAAAATTGTGCATAGATCTGCTGTAGATAGCTTGATGTTTCATAGGTCCGGGCCATTTAACAATTTTGATTACTTTTATCTTGTCTTCCAAACAGAGAAAGGAGATTTCATTGCGTTGGATCTTGGTGGATCTTATTTTCGAATTCTGCGAGTGAAAGTTTCTCATGAGAAAAAGCAGACCGTACAAATGGAAACTGAGATTTATGATACACCAGAAGATATCATGCACGGAAGTGGAACACGGGTAGGTTTCTTTTCTCAGAGATCCTTATCTAAATATTAGATGCTATAAATTATTTATAAATTAGCATTGTAAAGAAGTGTAGAAAGAAAAATCATATTCATGCTTTAATATTCAAAACTATATACTGAACTCTATAATTATAATGAGATGAAGAATAAATGAGCGGTAATTATCCAAGAGAAACACATCTCTTATTGCATAATTCACCCCTGCTGAGTTTGTATGTACTGATCTAAACCAATTTCTGTGTCTTGTGTATGGAAAATCAATGTCTGTATATTGGAACGGAGGGTTGAAAAACTCCCAGTCTATGTAAGCGGTTATCTGGATCTAGAATGCAATTGAAATGTAGGGCTGTATCAAGAAACAGATAACTTGGTCCTGTCACCAATCTTTTTCATCAACCTGCAAGAAGGTGTACATGAAAGAGTATGAGCACTGTGGTGTCAGGTGAGTTTAAAAAATTATACTGTGTGTAGTAAAGTGTTTTGTCACCACAAATATCTGACTTGGTAGTGAATGCTGTATGAAACCAAATAGGAGACTGAAAAAATTATGCCAGTGTTCTGGGCATTCCAAATTTGGCTATGGAGAAATATTTACTGTTTCCTATGTGGAAATATTCAATTCTTTCCACCGGACCATGCTCAGTTGCAAGAAGAACTGACAAGGTCAGTGATTCTGTGATTCCTCCTCCTTTTTTTTTTTTTTTTTAATTTCTTAATGAAAAGCCATTGAAGAATGTAAAGATGGCTGATTTGAAAATTCAGAGTTAATTTTTGAAAAATTGGTTGTAAAAGGATTTCCAGCCTTAATATAATTTTTTCAGATCTGATGACAATTACAGTTAGGGATGTGAAATGTCAACCGATAAGCCAGTAAGCATCATCCTTAACAGTGGAAACTTACCAGTTCCAGTTAAGTGGTGGGGGCTGGAGCAGTTCCCCTTCCACCATGGGCAGGGGGCTGCTTCAGCTCTCCATGGCAGCCTGGGCACCTTGCAGGTAGCCATGGCAGCCTGGGCACCTGGCAGGCAGGGGATACTCTGGGGGGGGGAGGGGTTCGCTCCGTATCAGGAGAGTGGGGAGGGAAGGAGTGCGTTCCAGGCTTAAATGGTTAACTTGGTAAACTTCACATTTAACTGGTTAACCAAATAAACAGGATTTTATACCCCTAGTTACAGTATCATCTGACAATCACTCAAGTAACTGGGATAATGTATATAAAATTGCAATGATATTTGAGCTATACTATTAATATTACAACTGTTTAAAAAGTTACATGTTTTATTGTTTGGCTGCATTTAATTTATAGGGGTTTATCTGAAAGTATACCTTAATGTTCATATACATTTTAAATTGTAAATTGTTTTATGTTATGATTTGGCGAAGGAGTGGGGTTGAAACTAATGGGAGGTTTCTGGTGGAGAGGTACCAAGAGAAGCTGATAGCCCCCAGGGATGGTTGTTGGTGTACATTTAACACATGCAGCACTGCTCTCTCCTTATCACTTCCCCAAATTTGATTGTGGTTTTGCCATATACTCCTGACTGCCAACCAATTTTTCTTTAACAGTACATTGACACTGGGAAAAAAACGGCTGCTGTCTGTTATTCCTTATGTGATCAGCTGAGTGGGTTTCCAAATGTACTGCTCCTGGTTGTTCCCTAGCATGACCATATGTCCCAGTTTTGTAGGGACAGTGCCAATATTCGAGAATTTACCCTGTCCTGATTTTTTTTTTCATATTTCCTATCTGGTTTCCTTATAGCTCCAGGATGTATTACAGAAGTAGGAGATTTGGGCAGCTTCATGTAATTTATCATCTGCTTTCCTTGTCCCATGGCAACAGCAGCAGCAGGAGGAGATTCTGTGGAAGAATTTGGCAATTGCCAGCTTTTCATAAGACTGCTCATTCTTAGTTTTCCAGCATTCCCTGCTGCTTCCCTTAATGCCCCTTACCTTTTTGCCACAGTGACTACCATAAATGTGCCCTCTAATTTTTTCCATCCATAGGTGGAATAAATTTTATGTGCTCTGAGGCATGTGCAGTTGGGCACCACCAGTAGAAACACACGCTGCTGGCTGTGTGCAGTAGGGGCGCTTTGCTAATCAGCGGGGTGGCATCTGAATCTCTCCTAGGAGGCCGCCCAAGCACTCAGCTTACAGAGAACATTGGCTACTGGTCTTGTGGGACTCTTAAGTGCTTCATTGCCCTTTTAGAACCATTGGATGAAGAGAGGTGAGGGGAAGGATTTGGACATCACTCCATCACGTAATGATGCTTTGGACAGACAGGTGTATAAAGAGATGGTGTGTAGACAGGGAAATTTGGGATTTGTGGACATTGATTTTCATACTACAGAGCAGCTGGGCTGCCTGGAGTGAGTTTGTTTTGTAGTAGTAGCTAGGATAGGTCTACTCTTGAGCTGATATAGGGACCTACCTGTGCTAGCCCTCATTGTGCTAGCACACACTGATCATAGGGTGTAGCTACAATGTCATGAGTGGCAGGGGGGTCTCACTGCCCAAATACATGGTTGGCATCGTGGATGGATATGTACTTGAAGTGGCTAACTCCCTCTGCCAGCCACCCCCCTCCCCCTGCCCCGTG